AGGACGAAACGGTGGAAAGATGAATAAATTAATATATTTTTTTTCATTTTTTGTTTTTCATGTATTGATTCAGAAACATAATAATCCGTCATGGGAGTAATAACTATAGTGAAATATGAACACATTCACACCATATACATAGAAAACATAAAATTAGCAAAAGTAAAATAATAACGAAATAATAATCAAAAACTATTTACAATAAAAAATAAAATAACCAAACGATAAGTAAATTAAAAACATAAAAATACCTATATACAATATATAGAATCAGGCAGGGAACCCCAAGGCAGGCTTGTCCCTCCGACTATAGAGGGGTGGTAGCGTAGAGATCTCTTGGAGTCCTCTTGGAAAAGCAGGACTACAAGAGATCCCAGCGCTACTCTCTCAACCGCGCCACTGGTGTTGAAGCCAGAGCGCTTTAGCCATATAAACATACAAACCATATACACTCATGTATAGAGTAGAGAATCTTACCATTGCCAGAACTCCAAGATATATGTTACAAAAGGTTTCTGGGCCACTTCCGCTTCAACCTTCGAGGAGGATTTGGATGATTTGTAAGGTTCAGACGGAATTTAGAAACAATTGAATGGATAAGGTCTAGGAATAATAGGATATTAACGTCATGATGTAGGGTTTTGTTGGTTACATAGAACGGAGCATTGACTATTGTTCGGAGGACTTTGGACTGAAAGGATTGGATGCGTTTGATGTAATTTTGGTGAAAATTTTGAAACCAAATAGGTTTCAGGATTGTCTTTTAAATCAGTGATTTGTTGTCAATTGAAAGTTGAGATTTTCTACTTAGTAGTCTGTATTGTTGACCGTATCGTTTGTTAAGTTCTTATCTTTTAAGTCTAGATTGTTGGTTCCACGTTAAATTAACATATACGGAAGAGAAAAAATTTCATACATTATAAGTAAAATAACATAAGTCTACCTTAAGTAAATTATTGAACATCAAATAATATAAGAAGGAATATTTTACATGCTTAGATTAATGATATATCAGCATGATGTTTAATACTTTGTACGTATAAGAACAATTATCATCGAATCGAAAGGTTAGCAGGTTAAGTGTTCACTTGTATCTTAGAGACTGACGGATTTATAGTTTGAATTTTTCCAATTATATTCCATTATTAAGAATATTAACAGAATGTATTTCAATTATATCACAACTTCTAGGAATATAGTTGTGACGATTAGTTTTACGTTACAGATTCCGGAACCAGTCAACACGCTCGACGAAATGAACTCACTGAGAAAGCTTTTGATCCAGATAGTCGCCCGCACTGATTGGAAGAGGCAATTTTTAGGCGATTACGTGTAACTTTCCCATCTAACCCCCTTCCGAACTACCTGGAGGGTCCTAAATGGCCTACCGATAACAGTGCGTTAACCAACACCAAATTGAGTGGACAGAAAACATTTTAGGAAAGTCAAACAACTTAGTGTATCAACAGAATCAAGAATGAAAAGATTTCCGTTGGATTTCAAGAAGTATATAGGGTATGCGCACCAGTGACGGACATACCTAAGGAGATTTTTGTCTTTTTTGGCTTAAGCCGCCATAATTGTTATAGTTATAAACCTTTCCGTTGGATGTTTAGAATCCCTAGGGTATTATTTCTCTATTTAACACTTTAAAATTGAAAACATATTCAGTTATGCAGCTATAATCTTCATTAAAAAAACAATAACTTTTTGCATTAGTAATGGACATCCCGAAATGCAATTGTTTTATTAAATTACAGGAAGTCGGTACCAGTAAAAACATACCTCAGACAAATTCTGAAATCATTATTTAACTATAAAGATAAGATAATATAAATGCTCAACGGAATCTTAACAAAACTGTTAGCAGGAAGGTATGCAACACACTGATCTCAAGATCACTATGAAAAAAACAATGATAGGGATTTTAAAATTTTCTATTGGAAATTTTGTTCATACAGTGATCAATAGAAGGCATTGTTCTTCAATCTAGAAAAGACTGGAACCATCAAATCAACAAGGAAGTTTATTAACTTAAATTTACATTTAAAGTCCAACCTGTCAATCATTGGGTCCCCTGGCCATAGCTGGTGCGTTCACTCTAGTTCGAACTAGGGAAGTAGAGAATCTAGAATGTTACTTTGGGGAGGAATTTTTGTTTCATTGACTATTTCTCCTAAAAGTAATAACGTTGAAAGGAAAAGAAAAAAAAATCGTTCATTCACTGTAAAAAATAATGTCTAAGTGGTTCTTGAAGGCTACACACATGAAATTAGTAATTACAGGAACAATGAGGCTTTTATAGATAGTTTTTTTTCTTGACATGAGCTTATATTAAGTAGCTATATATTTATTATAATTTCAAAAAGAACATGTTGTGATTGATGAAGTGCTTGGCTTAGATTACTTGAATAGATTACAAGAACAAATAAGAATCAATGAAAAGAAAAAAATATTATTTTTCAATTTGTATATTAAGATGTTTTTTGGTTATTAAGATGTTTTATTACAATTTGTTATTAAGATGTTTATTATATGTTTTTGAATATATTAAACAGACAAAAAACAGATAAACATACATATATCACAATCATGGGGTACGAAGGCTGACACGTGGGAAAATACGCTTTATCTAGCAACCTGAGGACACAATAAACTGAGGTTTACACGATTAAATAATTATGAGAGACCGGTTGGTGTTAGATTCGGATGATGTTTCAACGTCATCCCTCACTTTCTGAGCCTTCAGATACCCAGCAACAAGGACCATTTATAAAGGTATGGTTGTAGGTGTACTGAGGTATGCGTCCCCTGCATGGAATCGGGATCTCTCGCACCGACAGAAGAGCAAGTTGGCGACAATCCAGCGAACGGCTCTGCTGCGAGTCACCAGAGCATACAGGACTGTTTCTCATGAGGCGGTGCAGTTATTAGCGGGAGGAGTGCCTCTCGAACTGCTCCTGCGAGAAGATATGTTCAGGTACATACATAAAAAAGAAGGAAGGTTCAGGAGATCTATCGAGAAACCTCAAAGAGAGAATCGACGAAAACCCCAGAAAATGGAAATCTATTATCCGTGAGCATACAATTGAAGTGTGGAATCAACGGTGAGTGAAAAGCCCGCAAAGGGCCAGTCTGAAGAAGTGCTTCCCCACCGTTCAATCATGCTTGGAAGCCAAGTGGGTCCTCTCGAATTACTGGGATTTGGGCTCTCTCAATTCCTTACTGGGCATGGGGGTTTTCGAGATAAACTCCATGGATACGGAAAAGATGTCGATCCTCCATGCCCTAGCGGTGGGATCCCGAAGATTGCTGAGCACATCATCATAAACTGCACCGCCTTTGAGTCGATAAGGGCCAAATTGGTGAGGGAGACCCGTCTCTATGCTCTCTCTCCCTCTCTCTCTCTCTCTCTCTCTCTATATATATATATATATATATTTAATGCGTGTAAAAATAATTCAACCTTTTATTTTTTTATTTTAATTGTTATTTTTGTAACAAATATATTGTTCCACTATTCTCCCTCTGTTTTTTTAAATATATTTTTGATAACTATCTCCGTTGAATATATCGTTGATAACTATCTAAGTATCTCCTATTCTTATTTATTTTGTGAAGTTCACCCATATTTCATATTTATGGACATTGACCCTGTTTGTTCCATGCTACAGATATATTCCTTGATAGAAGTTGACCTATAAAAGAAGAGATTCAACAAAGATAATCCCCTAATTAAAGAACTGGTCAGTCGTTATCTCACGATAAGATAAAATAGAGGGAAGAGTGCACGCTACTGAAGATTTATTAGACTGATATGGCTATCTGCAGAATATATGTTCTTCTAAATGAAGAAGTTAAATAAAAGCAAATAATATTTGAACAATTTTTCAAAACAAAATATTTGTGCAAATATAAATAAATTGTGTTTAACAACATAAATTAACAACATTATCTCTAGTATAAACACATATTTAATAATTACCAGAGTAGAAAGGTAGGTAATATTTAACTTATATATCACTTTACGAGCTTTTATTTATTTTCTCTCTCTCTCTTTTTTTTCTTTTTCCTTTCACTATATATTAATTAATTATTGATACTTTATATATGTTCCTATTCCGAGGCACCAATGTGGTTCCACAGTGGATCACCAGCCATTGTGGGATTCCGGGAAACGTTGAGGCTGATATTCTTGCCAAGCGAGGAACAGATTTGCCTCAGCCGATACATCCAAAACCTTGCGACTCAATACGGTGAATGTTAAATATGGTAGTGAATGAAGAAGTAAGAAAAGCACATTTGGGCAAAATAGAAGGGAAACGTTATGAGTGTTTGAAGGATAATCATATTACAACAGAACTGCCGAGAAGAGATGCGTGCTACCGCCTGGCCATTGGCCACGACTATCTGCAAGAGTCATCTCTACAAGATAGGCGTGGCTGAGGATCCTAGGTGTAAATTGTATCATCAAGGAACAATGGATGCAGACCATCTAGACGCATGTACTGCCTTGAAGGACATAAGAAAAAGAATATTTTCAAATATATATATTAGAAAGTCTAAATTATACTGCGCAGCAAGATGTCGGATGGCCAAATGAACAACGACTGGCACAAGAGAAAAAAAAATATGTTCCTATTGCTATTACTAGATTTTTGTGACAGATTGTAATATTTCAATAAAGAAGTTAAAAAAAAAAATTACTAGATTTTATTTCATTTCATCTTCTTCTGTCCTCTTCTTACAATGATTTATCTTTCGGAACCATGTATGGATAAAATTAAAAGAACCTGCATGAAAATCCTCATTTAAATATGAATACTGAAATCAAGATAGGCCGCTGGTCACTCTTCACCCTCACGCCTATCAATGCTTTATTCTTCCCAATAGCTAACTCACTGGTTGACGGTATTTCTGATAGGCGTGAGTGAAGGAATAAAGTTGAAAAAATAATATAAAATAAATAATAATTATATAAATAAAATATATGGACAGACCTATGTCCTTGAGGTGGTGGATGAGGGTGTAGCGGGTGCTGCCCTTGAGGTAATGGCTGCAGGCACTGCTCGCCTCTTCCTTGGCCTTCCGCTCCAGCTCCAGCCGCTCCTGCCCGCCCCCCTCCGCCTCCAGGGCGGTGTACTCGTAGCGGCCGCCATGCCTGGAATCGTCAGAGCAAGGGGGGATTATACGAAAATCTAGCAAATTGTGGCTATCACATGCGGTATACATATCTGTACCCCGAAGATAAAGAACGCGATGTCCACGTTTGTATTTGTTCAGAGGAGCGCCAATTTTCCATACCTTTAAACTATTTAAATTTGTTTCTTAATTACTAAATTATTTTAATAAAAAATGTACATGTCCTTTATCTTCGGAGTACAGATATGTATTATGTAATACGGAAATAACTAATTTAAATCCTTTTGATTATACCTTATGCTAAAGATAAAATAATTACAAACTATTAAAAATACAAGTAACTGAAATAAGAAGTTATATATTTTATATGGATCTTTTTCAAGAAATGTGTCCATTTTGTGTGTCCTACAGTTTCTAAAATTTAAACTCTCAACTGGACAAAGTCATGAAAACTCTGATTAATCTTTCTAGTTCATTTTTTATGAAAGTGCAAAGAAACTGTAAACGTGGTGGAAAATATTCAGTCGTGTGATCAACATGTAATTTAAAAATAATGAACGCTACAGTCCGATATTAAATATATATTTTTAATCATATATCTGCGTAGACAGCGAGATAACAAGTGGGTAAGGAACAGACTTCCTAAGATCAAGTAATTATTCTGCTTCATCAGCCTTGGATCGATCCTGGGATCTGTAGGCCCACCTATGGCTCACCCAACCTCTATAGTAGATACTACCAACGATATAATTAATTAAGGTAGAAAACCTTGCCCAACTGTTACCTTGAAACAATACCCCCTTACAAACTACTGAATCCAAGACCCTTCATGGGATGTAGTGGTATTTTTTTCGTAAATTTGTGTAAAAGTGTATTAAATGGTTGGTACTTTAAACAAATAAACAGATGACACGTAAAAAAGAAATTAAAGTTTTTCATAATTTAATGCAGTTGTTTTGTAACTGCACCACACAGGTGCTTTGGGGTGACACAGTATTATATGACATAACTATTTTTTACATAACTTCAGGTGATTCTGAACTTATTCTGTGGTAAATAAACTTAATGAACATGGGCTTATTTCAGTTATTATTTAGTTTCACTTCGTTCTTCTAAGACAATATTCTTTATAACTGGGACTGCATGAAGTATTTTAGATGTAGACATTGTATAGTTCTAAAACTTTTAAAGCTAAAAAATATCTTATTATAATCAGATAAATGAGTTTTTCATGTCAGTTAGAAAAATGGAATGTTCGCTTAATGAGCTCTGGGAAAATAAACAAAAACAAAGAAATGACTATCGTAAAAATTCTTTAGGCTTTTCTCACATTTTTGCACGTGAGATTTGTCTGATGATGATCATAATCTAAATCTTGTCATAGGTGAAGGTAAATATTACAGATAATGGATGGCTCTTAAGAGTGCTGATACGCCAAAAATAAACGCTGGAATATTCTAGTTATAGAATATTCTAGTATTGTAATCAAACTAATTATTTAATGAATATATATATATATATAATATATATATATATATATATATATATATATATATATATATATATATATATATATATATATATATATCTGTTTACCAATTTATTTGTTCTACTGTCATAATACTAGTGAGCCAGAAACCGGCCTTAAGCTGTAGACCAAACCCACCATACCCCGACTAAGCTATCTTCCTAGCTACGAAATAGAATAGAGACACAGAACTGATTATCTTTGAGGAAGAAAAGGAAAGAACCATCAATATACACACATGTATGTATATGTATATATATATATATATATATACACACACACACACACACATACACACACACACACATAAAGTTTCCTTGTTTTTTAACCGAAATAAGTTAGAAAAAAATACGTTTAAGACTGAAAATATGTTTTAAAAAAATATTATATATTTATTTTTCCAAAAGAAATAATCTTAATAAAATCAATGAAAATATTAATATAAATTGAAAGAAAACTTGTTTCTATCTTAATTATTATTATTTTTTTTGTTGGAAGTATATATTATTAAATATGGCCACTTTGTAAGAATATTTTTTTATTTATTTTATTAAGTAACACAACTATAAGAAACAAAGGCAATGGATTAGGACTAAAGATTTTAAATGGACAATGAAAGAAATGTATGAATGTATATTTAAGAAATATTAACTTATGTCTTTAAATGTTTTATTTCACGCATTATTGCTATATAAAAACAACTGTTACAAATACGATAAAGGATTAAAGGGCTCTCTCAGAGTATCTTAGATATTTATATTGTCCTCGCTTCTTTAGTTCGAACTCTAGACACAAAAAAAGATACGAATTGCCTTCCTTGCCACATGCCTTTGTCCAAGTGACGAAAATCGAGCAAATAATCTTCTCCAAGCCATTATTAGACAATAATAAACGACATCCCAAATGGGGACAAGACTGGTTTCATTAATCAGCGGCCTCAGGCTGTATAGACAGTCGGGACCAATCGATCTTCATAGTCCCAACTACTTGGCAACTGGGACCGCCGTGTGTCAACATCAACCGGGGATGTCCTTCGCCGCTTCTTCTTATTGTCATTTGATGCATGGTCTGTACCTTGGACTTATAAAGAGGGGCAATGTTTAATAGTAAAAGTGGGGTATGATTTTTATAATTGGAGGATGATAAAAAACAACAAATCATTTTCAAAAACAGAACTTAATTTAGCTACTCAAAAATATTTAAATGTGTCTAACAATGAAAAACTTTTTTTCACTTAAAGTCAATTTTGCCTAGTTTACTGTAAATCAATAATTAAATATTAATTAATAAATTAATTAATAAACGTAAATTTTAGGAACGGAAACATTTATTTCTTCACTAATAAATATGGACCAACTGAGATATTTTAGTAAAACACATTTCCATTATCACTTTAAATGATGAATAATCGAAAAACCAATATTTTTAATATAACTTAATAAATAATATGTGTATTTAGGTATTTATTTTTTGTTATAATACATCCCAGATCTTCGTAAAAAAATAAAATAAATAAAAGCTTTGCAACAAGTTATTGTAGTCATTTATGCTAAAAACATGGCTAATTTTAGGTGACAGGATATATAATCATATAATTTTTTTACTTAACTTGAGATGAATCTCAAGTTTTTACATATTAAACCTCAAATTAATTAATACAGACTTAAAGTTTTAGTCCATGGTACAGGCCCCTATTTATCGAATTATTAACATCCGCCAGAAGCTTCTTAAATAGTTTCATATCATCGTAACCTATAACTATTTTATTTATGAAAACTCTTGGAATTGAGGCGTTTTCAATCTGCAGGGAGGCAAACTTCGTCCATTTAATTAGGTACTAAAAAAGATAATTTGATCACAAAGTTGAAAAAAAAGGTGGCCTTCAAAAATATTGAGCCGTTCGGCGTGACGCACACCCCCAAATTTTCAAAATAACGAGGTTATATAGAACAAACTGACCAATATTTTTGAAGGCCACCTTTTTTTTTTATTATCGATTTTGTGATCAATTTATCTTACGATCCAAGTATGAAGCAAAGAGATATTCACGAGTTTTTAGTACTAAATTAAATAGACAACGATTGCCCCCCTCCCGATTGAAAACTCCCCAATACCAAGAGTTTTTGTAAATAAAATAGTTGTAGGTTAAAATGGCATGAAACTATTGACGAAGTTTCAGGCGGATGTTGATAATTCGATAAAAAGGGGTCTGTACCACGGACTATTTATTAGATGGGGAAGTTTTTCTATAAGTGGTGTATCTGCAGTATAGTTGGAGGATGATAAAAAGAACCTCCTTAATTTGTTTTAATAATGACAAACTCTATTTTCATAAACGAAGTCCAATTTGTCTGTTTAGCAGTGAAACAATAGTTAATTGTTTGAATTAAACGTTTCTTTATTTTTTGACTTCCTTAAAAAAAACACCCACAATTTTTATTTCCTTCTTTCCTGCTGATGATTGGGCCATCGTTTATATAATTTTTTTTTATAGCTCCTGAGTTCTGCTATGACACCTATCGATATCCCTCTAGTTACAGGACATCCTGTATGTATACAAATATATATATTTACGTATGACAAATGTTTTTTTTTGTATACATTATTAATTGTTGAAAAATATAATGAAGTGTGAAAAATAAATATATCTAAAAGTAAATTATAACATCAATTTTTTCAGGTCATTCCTGAACTCAGTACAAATCCCTACCCGTTGTTATTACTAGATTCAATCGCTTGATGGATTCTATCGATGCTCAGTGCAGAGTTCAGCAATATGCTCATAGTAAGAAAATAACCCGCTTAGCACTATTTATTACTTTCCCTCTCAATGGAAAGACCATAGTTTACCAAAATTAAAATCATGCCGCAGAACAAAGGTCTTAAATATCTGTAAGTTTTTTTAAAAAAGATACGAATTAGATTATTCTACTTCCCTTTTCTCCTTCCTAACGAAGGCCCATCGAACTAATTCCTTAATTCTTCACTTTATTAATTCATTGATTCACTTTGTTAATTTACTTATTAATTTATCATGTCCATAAAGTAGAGCAGGGGTAGTACACGAGGAAGATTCTGATCTAATAATTTATCGTAAAAGCTAAACTCATTAACTTTAACGTGGCTATTATTAATGAAATCAGGCCAGTGTTGCACGCAAGGTATCTAGCAACAACAGGTAATGCGAGCGCAAGCGTGTGTGTGTTGATTAAAATTGATTCTTAAGATACATATTAATGTAATCTTTATTATAGTAGTAAAGTTCAAATGAAGCATAAAACAAATAATTTTCTCCGCGAAATTACTAATGATTAAGGAAAAACAATTATTTTTTATATTCTCTGGTTTCACATTCAATATGTATTTTTACTTCACTTACGTATATATGTAATATACAGTAAGGGTGGTTAGGAAGGGTGGGTAGTAAGTATTGCGATCGTGAAAATTTTGGAATCTCAGTTTTCAACGGAAATACATGCTTTGAGGTTCCC